GGTGTTCAATTATCACATTCCTTATTGCACCACTATTACGGCTCTCTTAGCTGAGTCAAACTGACTGCACTTCAGATAAACTTGGCTCTCAACCACCCGAACGGCTGTTCATTGTTTACACCACTGGCTAGCAAGCTTTGCTGGCTGATTTGGGTGGAATCCGTCTACTCCTAACAGTCAATCATCAGTATTTGGGGGATCATGCTGTTTCAACGGACATTCTGCTATTTATTGTTAACAGTAAACCAGATTTTACAAAATTTCCGCTTGTATTTTTGAAATTGACGATCAAATTTCTTCTACACAGAGCCGTTTTGAATTTTTAAACTGAGCCAAGGTCTGTTTGAAGAAGAAAGCCTTATCTTAACCAATAACTCAATGTTTAAATTACCAGCCTTTAAGACATGGTGTTGTGTATGAGTCTCTGGGTCCAAACTTGGTCAGAATGATGAGTTTTATTCTGAAAATGAAAAATACAAGCATTTTAATATACGATATGACGTTATTGAAACAGTATTTCAATGATGTGTCTCTTTGTGTCAAAAAGTGAATATTTAACTTTGAAAGTGAAGTGGTAATTCTTTGTAACAACAGTATTCAAACAATGAAGTGTTTCATAAATTAGTCTTCATTTTAATGAATTTCACTAATGTTCTGTGGATAATTAAGTCTGAACATTTCCGTAACCTTATGTTAAGTACGACGCAAAAGGGACAGAGAAAAAAATCAATGAAAAAGAACATCCTTTTGACTTTTCATTGTTTTGTCAAACTACTGTTAACGATAGTACTTTCAAGCCAGTGGGGTAGCTATGGGTTCGCTATTTGGCCTGTTGCTGACTGACTTCATTTTGGCTAGCATGGAGAGGAATACTCTCACACATGATATTAAGGAACTTAACTTTTATAAAAGGTACACGGATCATACGTTCATTGTATGCGATGAGAACTCTTATTTGGATGACATCCTGGAGGTATCCAACGTCAGTCATCTTGGGATTCAGTTCATTTTTTATAAAACTGAAGGAAAATTATTTTCTCTCGATGTGCTACTCACAAAGAGAGCTGATGGATCTTTGAAAGGATTTATTCACAGAGAGTTGACGTAGTCACGACAATTGATCAATTTTTTACAGACAGAAAAAAAAATTTAATCCATTCTCTCTGAACACGGATCTGAAGAGTTTATAGTGAAGACAGTGTTGATAAGGAAATTAAACAACTGAAAAAACCTTCATAGAGAATGGATATCCATTATGTTTCGTCGAGGCCAGTAGCAAAATTGTATGAAAACAAAACATAGAGAGTGACAGGGTAGCTAAGAAGGTGTTGCATCTGAACCTAGAATTTAGGGTTGACTCTTTTAGTGAATTCCTTAAAATTTGGCCGACAAGATCATTGAGAAATAGTTCTTCACTGCCACTTTACGAGTAACCTACTCTAGTCTTCCAGTAGTGCTCCTTAATATTAAATGTGTGTGAGTAACTTGATATGATTATGAGCGAAAGTTTGTGCTCGAAACGTCATCAGTTAATATTACTGTATAACACTGTGTGATTTATCAAAATAAAATCCTATCCATAATGGAGTTATACTCTACCACAATGCCCAAGTTTCATACTTATATGACTAAGGTTCCGAATGATATGACTTTTATCCCTTCTAGCTTCCACTCCGATGTTCATGATACTGACTGGTAGAAATCGTACACTTTATGTATAATTTAAAGTCCATCTCATTCTCGGTCTCTCCCTCACTCCATTGTTAGTATTACTTTGTCTCTGGAGCTAAATGTTCTAACTATAAGGCCTTCATTGTGTGTGCTCCCAGACAACAACTTCAGTGCTGATTACACGATGAAAACATTCAGCTTAAGGAAGATGATAGCGACACCATGAAATGCAGCCATTTGAGCAACAAATTTCGTTCGCCACATTTCTCTCCACAACACTATGACCGAGGTATTAAGATTCTGTAATGGAGAAAGTCTGTTCATGGTTTTCATTGCTAAATTTAATCCAGATTTACGACTTTTCTAAGTTGTTATTTTTACTTTTCTATCAATTTCATTTTAATCCATCTTTATTTCATAAAGTATTTGTTTACTATGTGAACATGAGTTTTTATGCTGAGTGTTTTTTTATGGTAAGATATTTTTGTTTTGATAGTTCCAGTTAAAAATAAGTATTCCTAGACTTTCAGTTTACGTTTCGTCAGGAGCTGAAACCAGTTAAAGAATCCTTGAAAATCGAGGTAAATCAAAATATTATTTCGTTCTAGTTTCAGACTATTCAGCAGTGTGCAAATGAACAGCTGCAGTAGAGACCACATCCATCACCTTTAGGTTGTAAGGCTAGCTAAATGACGTTTCTTGAGTGTATGACACAGAAATCTATTCAGCTTTTCTGTATTGGGTTATTTTACATTTTGTTATATATAGCAACCATAGGAATTAATTAATTATCCATTTGTCGTATCGGCAACACTGTTAATTTCTCTGTGAGTCAAGAAAAGATAGAAGATTTACGAATAGTAAGTCTAAAGGGACTGATCTGTAAGTCATCATCTTTTGTTAATCACGAATTCTGACAATTCTAAGCTGGATGCCTTTTGAGACAAGGTGCTTTTTTGTTGAAGATATTGAAACTATAACGAAGGAGATGCCTGATGATTCCCTAGTTATTCATCAGTGGATTTGGTTTGAAGCAAACTAGTCTAATATTTCAAAAAAAGATGTTAGTGATATAATTGGTGAACTTGTTACATGCAGTGATTTCTTTATTTTATTAACCATGAGTATTTGGGACGCTATTTCATTATTCAAAGGAGAAAAATAATCTCTAGGTCTTAATTAGCATTCCACAAGAACCATATAAAACTGTTCTTATTTGGGGAGATTGATGAACGGTGACTAGGGTGACAATATGCGTTTCAGTATACCCAAAACTGTTATTTTTTACAGGATTTCATCATAAGCTGACATTAGTTAGAGAACGATTGGAAAACCTGGGAGTGCTGGAGAGCTGTTTCGTCCTAGTTTGGGACTCTTCAATAGTTTGCACCTACCGGGATTCGAACTCAGGGCGTCCTGGTTACAAGGCGATCTCGTACACCATTAAGTCACTGGGACCCGATCCAATGGCCAGTCCACGGATTCTAACTTCTGCGACACAGCACGACCCCTAACCAATGTCTTCGGCGAGGATTTGTCCTCACACCTGACCTGATGCACCCTACTGGTAACTGTAATTTTTTTTTATTGTTTATTGTACTTAGTGCTTTAATCTGTACTGATTAATTTCAGTTAATCTGTTTTGCATAACGTTTTGACTGAAGTCTGTCTTACTGGTTATTCTTTGTCTTCAATTCGAAGTAGCAGATTTGACGCTATGACACTCACTGTCGGATTTGTGAAAAAAACACAAAAGGTATAGGATGGAGTGCTTTCTTTATAAAAACAAACGCAAAAGATCAGTACGAACTGATGACATCTTTGATTGTTTCAAACAAAACAAGCAAACACAACAAGAAGCAATTCAAAACAGTATGTTTACTTTATGGAATGGTGAGGCTAGCTTAATAGTTTACGATTTCAGATAGGCCATCAATGTCGAGCTATTTTACTAATCATTTTGATTTATATTTATACATAAATTTGAAAATTTTTACAGAAATACCTTGGGAATAAAAGAAAGTGTATAATTTGAATTTAAAATCTTTATTTTTCAGCATTTTGTGGTGTTGTGAAAATTGACTTCTGGCTAGTTTTCAGCATACTAGACAAATTATGCCGTTCAATTTGTCCATTCTAATTTAAATTTCATTTTAAGAAGAAATTCGTTCTTCTGTTGCCTAAGGACAGATTAAATTATACTTACCTGTGCAGATTTTTTTTCCTCCGTTTTGAGTGATAACAATAATAATAAATTTGCTATGCCTAAGAAATTGTTCTCTGTGGACACATATTGACTGTAGAAGGAGAAAAACAGCCAGCCAGCCAACCAACCAACCAACCAAACAAACAAACGATTTAAGCTGACTTGTGTGTTTTGTTTCTCTTTCTCCTTTGCATCTTTTTTCTGCATTTCGAGCTAAAGTAATTGCTTCAGCTTTCTGCATTAGCTTCTTCTTCTTCCTCCTCCGTCACCACTAGAGAAAAAAATAAGGATAGAATTTAACTTAACAATTTTTTCTCTTAGGTTATACTTGTAAATTACTATTTATTTATGTATGCAGCATAGAAATGTAAGACAGTGATGATGGGAGACTGAGGCAACTAGTGCGCAGAGACTGAATAAGTGAAATAGAGAAACTGCTACATTAAATCGTACCTATGTGAATGTCAAACTGTTAGAAAAATGTTTTGTATTAAACTTTTCAATCTGATGATTTATTCTATCACTGGAATGAACTGATAACTTAAAACATTCTTTTTTTTGTAAGACAATCAATGGAAACATTCTTCAAAGAACTGATTTTCACGGATAGTCTAGTTAAAATGCCTAAAGGTGTTAAAGCAGACTTCCTATTACTGTTGCTCAACAACCTTCAATTAGTTGGTTGTCATGTTTGAAAAAAAAGAGTTGCATAGTCATAGAGGTGTAAGTGTTGGGGCTAGACTTAAAATAGACCTCGATATCCCCACACTTACTAAAAACTTCACCGTCCTATAACTTTACCAGTACTCTACCTAACGTGTAAGTAATGATTAACGCAATCAAAGTTTAGATGCTAAAAATGGAAAGAATTCGTAGTATGAGTTGTATTTAATGTAACTGAATAACAGATTTAATAAATAAAGTGACTGTACAACTTATCTGTTGACTCGACTGGAGGTAGGCTCGAAGAGTGTGCTGTATGAAAGCACAACGAGGGAGCGAACCAAGTGCGTCAGGAAAATCACGGCCAAAAAAATCCAGAAGTGCCAAAAGTGGGGTGAGTGGGTTTAAACAAAAGTTCGGAGGTTTAATGTCCACTACAGAGGTTAAAGAATTATGATAAATGTATGTAGATACAGATGAAGTTTTAGATCTCGAAAGTACAAATCCAAAACCTGCAAATACTGCATCAATTCATACAGAGTCCAGTCATCGTTTGTCAGTGTCACCTCTTGATCTTTCGATTTCTAATGATATCGAACAGAAGATAAAGGCTCTTTGTGAATTCCTAGATGAACTTAAGTGCGAAGATGTTTCAGATACTGAGTTAGATTCATTACTTCCATCATCTATAATGAATTTTTCACCCGAAATTAACGAAACAATAGATAAATTTGAGTTATCAAGTTATAATTATACTATTAATTATAATGATCCAAATTCAGTGCAGTTATATAGCGAAGAAGCTGAAAAATATGACAACATTCTTCAAAGCAAATCAGATGTTATGTTCACTGTGGATACTTTAGAGACCTTGTCGACGCAAATCAGGCAACAAATGTCAAGTGCAGAAAATTGGGATGTAAACGGTTTAAGTGATCCTACTGAGTTTGAAGGAGAGCATTCAGCAAATGAAATTGATCAGTCTGAAATCAATTTGTTAGGATCACCAAAATTGGATGATAATTTATATACACCGTGGCAAGAATTAGTCGAATCAGCTGCGCAAAAATCAATTTCAGTAGACAGTAAATTAGATGAACAAGACTATGTTCAATGTATTGGAGCTTATATCTCTGGCATAGGGCATCGGGATATTATCCCACTACGGAAACGTTCTAGCGGTCTCGAATTATTGCGGAACACTTGGATTAGTCGAACATACTTTGGGAATGATTTACTTAAACATTTAACAATTAATAATTCGAATGAAGAGTCTAATGAGAACAACGTATGTCGTACAAATGAATTTCCAGATACATGGTCTAACAATAATTGTGAGAATGCATTCATTGGCTCCGGAATTTTGGATGTGTTATCAAAATTAGTCTTGCCTTTATCACGTAAAACAGATGGTTACTTACGTCAAAATTTATTAAAAACTGTCAAATGTACATAATAACCTACACTTATAGAAGTATATATTTTCTTCATATACATATATATATGTATGTGCGTCGGTGGCACAGTGGTTAGGTCTCTCGCTGATCATGCACATGGTTCAAGGTTCGATCCCCTGCCGACGCTCACCTGATATCTATGGTGGGCCTGCATAATTTGGGCTACCGATATCCATGCTGAAAATTCCATAATTGTATCAAAAATACGGTGTGGAATCAAGCTGTAAATCAAAAATAAATGAATAAAATAAATAAAAATATTACTTCTTCGATTTTGTAATTTCAGACTAATAAATTGTTGAATAAGGAATTAAGAAGACAAATTTCGCGAGATGATGGCATCATTTCGTAAATTCTTTTACAACAATAATAAAATAAAGTGCATAGCAACTACTCAGTTAAGTAAAAACAAAAGTACATGCTAACGACCAATCATATTTAGATAGGTCATGTAGTCCAGGGTAGACGAAGATTGAAGTATATTGTTCTTTGTACACACAGTTTAGGCTGTATGTGATGAATCCAAAGTGCTTCCATCACCTACAATAATTTTGAATTAGAGTTATGTGAAATAATTGTGAAACAGTCATTAACAGCATTGGTTTTGTGACCTGACATTAATAAGTGTTTTGCAATGGATGATGCTGGATTTCTGCTAAGATTAATCGCGTTAGGATTTTCGATATGATTTACTAGCCATTTTGGAACATGTTCTTTTCGACGACATTGGAACATTCTGTTGGTTCTACCTATATAGGTGTCACCGCAGCTGCAGGTGAACTTGTAGATGCAGTTTGAACTAGAGTCCACAGAATTTCGTCCTTTAATCGTAGGAACAGGGATCGAAAATGTTCGGCAAGTGAGAAAAAGAGATACGGTGTAGAATGTGAGTTTGATGGCTGAGCGAAGTCTTTGAGTTGTCAACTGCATAATCTGGTCGCCCTTGAATGGTAGGTTAATGAAGACGGCTTTCTTTGGTACAAAAGCTGTTTTTTCGAGGTGTGAGTTTTCTTTGCTGGGACAAGTGATAAAGTTCTCCGGATAACCATAAGCTAATAAAACTGATTGTATATGTCGAAACTCATCCATCAAAGAGTCACTCGTGCATACTTTTCGGGCCCTTGAGAACAAACATTTCACTAGGAACGTTTATACTGGATAGGAACGAAACTGGTAAAATGAAGATATTGTCAATTCCATGTCTGTTTACTAAAAATAGATCGCTGAATCGTACCATCATCTCTCCTAGTCATTGTAATATCCAGCAAACCGAGTTTGTTATTCTATTCTAGTTCGGAAGTCACTCCAATATTTGGATGCATATGATTAAATAGGGTGATAAAGTTTTCAATAGATTTACTATTATTACCAATAATGAGAGCATCATCTACGTGACGTTTATGCAGCATAAATTCTCCAAGCATACCTTGCATTTGTTTCTCTAATTTCGACATGAATATATCTGCTAACAAGAATAAATTTTTAACGGCAACACCAACAGACAACGGTCAGCCAGAATAAGTGGGAAAAATCTAAAGCAAGTGACCTCCTCTACTTACCTAACTGCGAAGCATCGTTTCAACTACAGGCGGATGAAAATGATGACGATATCAAAGCGAGGATCAACAAACCAAACCAAGCTTTCATTACTTTCATCAAGTCTGTGTGAAGATCAACAGAACTCAACTCAACACTCACCATGAAAAACCAGATCAGGATTTCCAACTCCAATATGAAGAAGTCAGTGCTATTCACTACACGGATCACAGACTCGACACCCCCTTCACGAATCTCACTCCCAACAGACGATACACCTTCATCGACAGCTGTCTCCACTCCACACTTCACTCGAGATCAGATGGCCCGCCAGAAAACACCAGGAACAGAGATCTGTGGCAATGAGCCAACCAACCGAGTTGGAACCAATCGTGCATCAAATGTGCAGGAAGAAATCGAGGTAGGTGGATTCGATTGACCATACTCTGAGAAAACAACCCATCGAGTGAGTGACATCACACGCCAGGCCATTACTCTAGTGTGAAGTGTATGTGGAGCAGCGAGTTGGTCGTGAGTGTGAGGATGACACAGAGGGGGGGGGGATTCGAAGAGGATGAGATGAGAGGATGTAGTCAGATGTGGATTTGTGTGAAAATGTTGTTGGAGAACTGAAGGCAATGGAGACGTTCGACTGAAGCTGTATTTTCCTCTAGGAACCCATGAAGACAATAATAATAAATAATAATTTCTTAACTGAACTAGTTGGCCTCAGGTCAGATACAACATTTTTTTAAACTACCGTAAGTAAAACACATATCTAATTTAGTATGTTTGACAATTCCTTAAGAGGGACTCCAAATTCTCTAGGATTTTGTACGGCTGTGTAATGTTTTGCAATGACAAATTGCATAAATGATAAAAGCAATAACCTTGAATTTTTAAGATAGTTAAAGTGATAAGTGAAGAACAAGTTAATTGATACCTGCAGCTGAAACATGTAGAAAGGTAACATAATGTTTAGTTGGATTAACTAGAAATAAACTTTGAGATTGAATTCACACTAGGGTTGTTAATCAATGCCATAAATGTATACACAGTTCTTAGGTGATTTATATATCAGCTGAGATTTGCACTTGGATCACTGTTTGCCGAATTCATCTACTTTAACTAAATTGCTATGTCATGAACACACAACAAATGGAGAGCCATTTAGCTAGAAACTATCTCTTCATGTATTGAACCTTTACATCAGTATGCAACTAAAGTTGTGACATTGATTGTACCAGGGATCTTCAGGTAACACAGAGAACAGAGTTTAATCAACCACTAGAATGAAATCAAACAGCATATGAGTATTAATCTTCAGCAATGCACCATACTGAGCCACCTTGATACTGAAATCAAACATTTAACTGGAATTTCAGGGGATCATTTTGAAGTTAATTACCATTAAAAACTGGATCATTACTCACATGAACTTCATCTCTAAGATTTGACTGGCTTGTGTAAGAATAGACAAACAATTTTAAAAGAAGGTCATCGGATTTTCAACCATTTTTTAGATAATAATGCTTCAAGATAAAGAGCATCTCGAGAAAAGAATATGATGCATAACCTTGTTCAATGAAGAATTATCTTTTCTACTAGGTGTGATTTATTATTGAAAGTTATATTTTCCACAATTCATGAGAAGTACTTTCACTTTAGGAAAACGTATTGTGCAAAGACAGTTATAACTAAACTTCTGGTGCGAACTTGTAGCATATTATATTATTATTATTGTTTCCTTTAATTCCTAGAGGAATATAGGGCTTCAGCTACACGTCTCAATTACATTCGGTTCTCTGGTAACGTTTTCATCTGGCTCCAAGTCTGATCTCCTCCAAGTCACCCTTGGACGACAAACTCGCCACTTTCCATCAGGGTTCCATTTGAGGGCTTGTCTAGTGATGTCACTTAAAGGTTTCCTCAGAGTATGGCTAATCCACCTCCATTTCTTCCTGTGTGCGTCGGTGGCAGAGAGGTTAGGACTGTCGCCGCCCATACAAACGGTCCGAGGCTCGATCCCCAGCCGACGCACACCCGATATCAACTTGTAGCATAGCGAAATCGCAATTAGTGACTTACAGGTACCTTTTTCTTCAACTAACCGAACACAGTATCTGAAGCATCCTGTTTCGAATCTTTTCAAACATTTTTTACAACTCAGACTTCTACTTCCTTTTTAATGTTCGTAATACCTGGTATCCCACGTGAAGTTTATACATAACTTTATATATTTACAATTACTACTGTGTTGTTTTTTTATAAAAAATATGAACACCTGCTGTACAAAAGTTGTCAAACTTTTAAATATTTATTTATTTAAAAGTACATACCGCAGTATTCTTTTTTGTATATTACGCCTTACAGTCTAACTGTAGAGTGTTAAAATAATTCGTGAGAGGAAAAAAATAAATAAATAAATCAGATTAAATGAATAGTTAGACAGGTTATATCTATCGATTTTCATTGGGAACACTATTAGGCTTTGAGCCTGCAGGTGCAGCCAGCTAACAAATTACAAATGAGAATGCAGGTGTTCACATTGCTAATAAGCACAAAATGATAAGGGGAATAATTTTATAGGAAGTTAATTCACGTGGGTGATATCCTGGCATACAGTGTACCTATGGACATTTCCGTGACTGGAGCATTATGTGAATGACATGAGTTAGCTTTAATAAGAGCATGGAGAAGCAATCATTGATGATGATGATGATGATGACGACGATAACTCATTCAACATGCATATCTGATTATAAAGAATGAATCAGTTGACACAATGATGCTGGCTCTGGCTAGTCAATAATCACTGAAATATTTAAACTCCTATATCTTGACAGTTTCACCAGCTTCAAGAAGGCGTATTCATCATCAATGAGTTCTATAGAGATAAATCTTTTTTTTTGGAAGTTGAATGCATTATTTCTTCGGTTGATAATATTTCATAATTTGCCAACAGTTAAAGAAAAATTTTTTTTATCTTTCATTATAATCATGATTATTGTTTATACTAATAAGGCTACTGAAGTAAAATCTATTAGCAAGTATGATATAATAAATAGACCAAGGGTTTGACAGATAGATAGATAGATAGATGGATAGAAAGTGAGACAGACAGACAGGCAGATAAACAGGTAGATGGACGAGTCGACGGACAGACAGACAAAAGGAGAGAAAAAAACAGACAACAAATAGATTAGGTAAGATAGTGTGATATAATAAATTAACGAATTAGCAAAAGACGGAAAAATTCATTGAGCCCTTTTTAAGACTAATAATTTATAATATTTCTTTTTTTTTTCTGAGTAAAATGAAAATATGGGTAAGCAAAAGACATATGAACAAACACATATATGTATATACATGGGGAATGGATACGCATCATTTAAAGGGATTCACAGAGTACTCTTGATAAAATGGCGAACGCAAAACACTGTCTAGACACTATTTCAATGAC